CCTGCCGACGATAATTCTTCTACGTGCTCGACCATATTCCATTCCCGTTAGATTTCTCCCGTGTTACCTTGCTCGCTTTTTCCTACCGCAGTTTTCTCATGATAGCGGCAGCATAATCGTTATTCTACCCTCGTGTTCCGAAAATCGTCAACGCCTGGCGTTTCGATGTGTGCTAGCAAAATTGTAGCAATTTTTGTGAACCTTCTCGTGACAATATAAAATTCATATCTATTTGAATTTTCCCTATTTCAAATAAATTAATTAGTATCCTCGATGAGTTGGTAAAATAAGATTCCATTTATGGGGAAGCTGGTATCGATTTTTAATTAAATTTTTTCTCTTTTTGAGACAATTCCCATTTTTAATTAAACTGTCTCTTTTTTAAATAAATTAACGAGGTTCATTGTTGAGCTAATAAAATAGGATTCCGTTTATGGTGGAATTGGTGCCCATTTTTAATTAAATTGTCTCTTTCGTGAATAAATTAGTGAGCGTTCTTGTTCGGTTAATAAATTAGGGTTTTATATATGATGGAACTATTATCCATTTTTAATTAAACTATCACTTCTTTTTTTAATAAATTAATGGGTGTCCTTGTGTTGTGACTTAGTAAAATAAAATTTTATTTATGGTGAAGCTGGTATCCATTATTAATTAAATTGTCCCTTTTAGAGACAATTCCTATTTTGAATTAAACTGTCTTTATTTTAAATAAATTAATAGGGTTCATTGTTGAGAGAGTCAGCAGAATAGGATTCCATTTATGGCGGAATTTGGTATCCATTTTTAATTAAATTGTCTCTTTTGAGACGATCCTAAAGTTCTAAGTAACTAAGGAAAAGAACAATCCAGCAAGATACATACATACATATAACGATTGCTCAACCAAACGTTCCGAGCAAAGTTGGAAATAAAGTTTAGTATATTGTCATAATCTGTTTCCAAAATGTTCTTTTTATCAGAACGAAGTTCCCCCATGTAATTAAATGTATATTCTAACGTCATTGTTTACATCAATGAACTTTTATTCCCGACTGGATTCCAAGCAAACAAGTAATTAGTTACAACGATCTAAATATTGACATGCGTTAAGAGCTATAATAGCTTTATTTAGAATCATAATCACATTAACTGATATAAGACTCTATAAGGTATTGCTCTTAAGCAATTCACTTCGAGCCGCTGATAACGAGTTACGTGATACTACGACGCTGTTTTGCGTATCGATCGCCAACAATCGAATAGAAATTTATCGTAATTCGATGACTGTACGAGTACGTTTCACGGACCCTGTGTAATACCTAATTCCTATTCGTTGACACGCACAAATTGAGCTGTGTGTTGCCAAACCTGTGGGAAACCGCTACAAAACCCACCACGACCCCGCGCGACTTTTTGCTGCGATTATTGCTGCGGCTCGTATTTAGGGTGATCGTTTTCATCCGATGGGAATTTTGGTCGACACGTTTAACTTATCAAAGAAAATAAATCAGATTTCTTCTCTTCGTAACATAATGGCCATTGTCGTTACAAAATTAGGAAAAAAAATTATTCAATCCCTAAACAATATCTCCTACTTTTTCATAAATACATGGCGTCATAGTCTGATATTAGAATTTTCTTTATATTTTCTAATACTCAGATCGATATTTCTAAGATCGTTATATTTTTTAAATATTTTCTTAACCTCAGGACGCTTAAGTGAAAAATGTCTACAGAATTTATGAAGATTTTTTCAAAGAGTAATTTCTGTAGAAAGTAAATATTCTGGTTTTGTGTCAGAAAAGAAGTATTTAATTATTTTAAGCAATATATTAGATTATAAATATATTCTATGAACATTCTATAGAACAAATATTTTCAGCATTTTCGGGGTTGTGTTAACAAATCGGTACCCATGCTGAATCAGTTAATTTTTCTTAACAAAATGAAAAGTATACTAAACGTGCTAAAAGGAATTTAGCACCTTTACTACGTTTCTGTATTTGCTTATTGTAAAAAGGGACTTTTACATTAAAAATGCACCGTACCTGATACGTCGGTATATGTTTATTTGTAATTCACCACACACTCTCGCCACAATAGTGTCGCATAGCATATGCGGTCGCAATGAAGGATTAGAGAAGACTGAAAAAAGCAACCCCCTTGAAGGGTGCGATTGTGGCACGCGACTCCATTCGAGGGTGACACACGTGTCATTTATACGCCTTTTATTTCCAGATTAAGGTGTAGATAAAGTTCAAAAGTGGGATCCTAATAGCGGCATTAAAAAAGTCTACTAAATATAAATGCTTTCACTATTAATAACATTTTTGTACATTTTCGAAGTAACACCAACAAACTACCAAAAAATTAAAAAAATTTAATGATAAGCATATTAACAAAAATTAGAAAACATTGAACTTATCTTAGAGCCAGTAAATTTCAAATTCTGATCGCTGTTTTAAGAGTCATTGAATTAATTATGGAAGCAAATGCAATTTATTTATTTCTATTTATTTTTATTTATTTCATTTATTTATTGTATTTACTTACATTCCTTATTTTAATTTTGTTTTGGCTTGTCGATAAAAAAGTGTAAAAATAGTTTGTAAAAATGGAATCTATATTTTGCTATATTAATGTTTAATCAATGTTACAAATATTATTATGGAGCCACAAACAATAAAGCAAGGGTTACGTTGAGATGATAATGATATCTCTACTTATGTTATGATTACATAAAAGATTTTTGTGTGAACTTTTAAGTGAAAAATAAGCAGGTGCTATTCAAAAAGATATGTTCTTGCTTTTAAGGATTTTTGACTAGTTCTAGGTATTGTTTTAGACAGAAACGGGTAAGAAAGCGAATGTAACGAAGTGATTCTGTCGTTATCTCTATGGACGCTCATGACTTTTGTCTCCACCTCCTTCCTGTCCCATCCATTGACATCTGCCTCGAAGATGCTTCCCACACAATTCAAGAACAAATAACATCGCCTCTTGCCTTATCTAATCTGCCTTGTTATCGTCCACGCGATGTGAAATAAGTTTATTTTTTCCGTGTTTCGTTTCAGAGCTATTCTGCGATGTGTCAATTATTTAAATAACACAAATATTAACACATGTTTTCTTTTTCCTCGGCGTACAATGATACTTAGGAAACAACTATAAAGCAACTAATCTATTTTCGTAAATTATGCTGTTTCATCTTTGCTAGCATGAAGCAATCATTTGTTTACAGACGTCCAAGCAGTTTTCGAAATCTGTACAACCGTTTAAATGGAATTAAACAAATAATTTCTCTTCGTATACCTTGATTCAGTATTTTATTCTCTCCTAGAAAAATACCACCATCTTTTTAATCAATCGTGTACTATATTCTCGAAATACGTATAGTTTTTTTAAACGGAATTAAACAACTAATTTCTCTTTGTATTATGAATTATTTTATCATTTTATTTTTTCTAGAAAAATGTTATCACTTTTTAAAAAAGTCATCTAAAATCGTCGATTTTGTATTTTATTCTTCCTTGGAAAAGTGTCTCGTTGTTTTCACATAATTTTGCGTGTCTCAGAATTTGTATAGTCCCTCGGATGAAATTAAATTGGCTCCCACGCAGATTGGCTAGTAATGGCGCTCGAATGAACACGATCGTAGATTTAATCATTTAATCGGGATCGCGACGACGACACCTCCCTTCCGGTTCATCTCCCCGGAAAATCTGTAGCACCCTCCGGAGGTGTCACAATAAAACAGCCCGTGGCTGGTGGCCACTTGACAACGGGTGGTCCTCGATAACTCTCACCCTTAATGTATATTAAACAAGGCTCCCTTTTTTCGCTGCGTTCCCGTTGCCCGCTGACTTTTTCGGGCACGGCTAATAAGAATCTAATTGTTTGGGAACTCTCGGAGTTGACTTCTCTGTCAGCGGAATTTTTGATCTTACTTAGAAAATTCGTATATTTGCGTCAATCGAGTTCATAGAATTTAAGAGAGCAACAAATAACACGTTTCCGTCGCAACTAATTGAAGAAATTTTTAAACACTCAACGTATTTGCAGAGTTCAGTAAATTCTCCCTAATTGATGATCAGATTGTACACATAAATGGACGATTTGGAAAGGCGAGATACGATTATTCGAGCCTTGCAAACAACAACTATAAAAACGAACCGTAAGGCTCGAATAATCATATCTCCTATTCCCAAATTGTCCATTTTTTTTGCACAATCTGAGCGTCAAATAGGGAGTATTTACTGCATACATGCATCTGCATGCATTTACAATATTTGCAGAATTTTAGAATACAAGATGACATTTATTAATAACGATTTTAATTCAGTTTTACAACAAGGAGTTTTTTAGCGGAGAAATTAATCCTTATGTTTGTAAAATAATGTACGAAAGTGGCAGTTCGCATATGTTTTCCTTAACCTGATGAATTTATTTAATTGAATTGTCAAGTTGCAAATGATACAAAATGTTTCTTATTAACACTTAACCTACCGAGCACTAAAAAGTTGTGTTATAATTTATGTTCGACTTAAGGAATTTATTCCTGTGAATTATTCCCTTCAGTGTTAAACTGCGAATTTTCATATACAGTCAGGGATTTAAATAAAAACTCAATAAGAATTTATTCACCTAAAATAATAATAATTATTATTGAATGGCATTTTCTTATTATCGAAGGATTTCAATTCAGACAAGTGTTTCTCTGTTCGTAATTTGTTGTTCACCTTTTGAGGTAGAAGTTCTCGGGAGTGGCTAATAAACTGTTCAATTGTAAGCAAATATTTTCGTTGTTCCGACGTATTTGCGAGATGTCTATAGGTATACCCGAGGGGTCTAACAGCGACCTAAGGGTCTCCGAGCAGCAGAGGGATGCTGGATGCGTGTGGAAACAGTATGGGACGGTCCGGAGAGGAGCTCCACCCATGAGGCCTGCGCTCCGCCTTCGCAAAATTCATTTTCCCGGGGGTTGTACCGCACTTTCTATTAGTTAAATCGGCCCGTCTGGAGTCGTCGGTCGGTTTAACGCCAGCTACAATCGTAACCCGGACGAATCTGTCAGTAAAGTGGCTCTTCGGCGGTCGTGACACCCGAAACTTGCGTTTAATATTTTTGCCGGTCGTGAATGGTGCGCGATTGTGAACCGAACTTACACGTGAATAATGGTAAGCTATTGCGGCACGATCAAATTTCGATATATGATCGCGTTAAGGCCTCAAGGACGATGTCTATGCAACGTACGGACTCTCATGCCCTTCCCGTATGTATGGGTGATATTTATAATCGCCCATAAAATACTCAAAACAAATGGCACAGAGAGATTTTGCAAAAACTCTTCGGATATATCGCAGTGCATAAAAAATAAAATGCTATGAAAGGGAGAAATCGTTTCACAGCACGATGGGTTAATTGTTACTGTCGTTGACCGCACGGTAAGTAACCATGATTTACCGTCGTCCTTGATGGCTCAAGAATATGTTGACGAGATCAATTACGAGGATTGTGGTGTTTGTTTGGTGAGAAGGTTAAATTGACATCAAACATCATCAACGCTTAAACTGCCCAACAAATCAGGTCCTTGATGAGTGTCTTTCTTAACTATCCGTTGTTCCTTGACGAGTATCGCGGTTGTCATTTCAATTTTGGTGAACGTTATCGTTCTGGATCATTTCACCGTTTCAGTTCACGGTAATGTTCGTTCTGTAAACAGAAAATCAGACAAACTGGATTCTAGCTTTCACTGCATTCGAGTTCTCACTTTGCTAAACATCTTCGTGCTTAAATTATCTACTGCGTGAAAGATGATTTAATCGATTTTACTGTCTAAAAAAGGAGTCTAACAAGCTAGGACTTCGACAAGTGTTATTCTAACTAGACCGTAGACTCCATGAGCGTATTTATGGCAAAGCAAAAATTCGTGACATGAAAAAAGGATTTATATTTGTATTAAATACCGAAAGCATTTTTAGTCGAACTTCGCTGAAATAAATCTCATAATCAACGAAGGAGATTATTCGCGCCATTCCGTATTAAAAAATAAGCAGCGATAAACGGGAAATCGCGAAAGGTCCGGCATCCTAATTTTGACTGTGCCAAAGGGTTGGCATTTTGATGAACGTCTCCACTGAACGATTCCACAGTGTCAAAGTAGCTTCGATCGCGCTTATTACACAAGAAGGAAGCTTCCAGGAGGGAAGAGAAATTCCTCGACGTTAACATTCGACCGATCAAGCATCGCAGTTGACAAACGCAAGTCACAAAGACCACGAAACACAGCAATTGACACGCATATCTGCTGAATGTCAGGGACAATAGAAGCAAGAGGGGGTGTGATACGAGCATCCTGTTGGCGCTATGTAGGCTAATTTCGTCCGCGATAATATGACCAGATTTCTCGGGGCTTTTGTCATCGGCCAGTTAATCGCGTCACGCGGATCGAAAACCTTTTAAAATCGACTCGAAACTTTAAACGCGGTCGTTGAAACGAACGAGTCGCTGTGCAAACAGTCCAAGGAGAATTATTCTCAAATTCCAGTCGATGTTGACGTACAACGGCTGTTCCGGTGGAACCGTGGACACAGAGAACGGTTCACCAGCCGAGTCTTTGCTCTCTGCCGAAGGAGAACTTGCCGAAGAGGTCGGGGATTCACCAGAAACACCCAGAGACACTGAAGAGGAGGCGACATTGTCCGATGAATTTTACTCGCACGACACCGACGAAGAAGACGATCAAGGGAAGAAGCGACGGGATCGGACTAACTCCGTGAGATAATTTTTCATTCAGTGTTAACAATCTCCTTCTACCAGTACAAGTTCAAATATAGTCAATTTTTGCGACGGTTGTTTTAGACTAGGCTCTCTTCTGACATGTACGAAGAGATTTTATCTGCAAGAATCACATATGTTAGAAAAGATGTACCTAGAACTGAATTGAGACAGTGAAGAAATACAATTCTGTATTTTTTCTCTCCATGAGTGGATCAAAAGTAGCTCTACATTTGACTGGCTAATTGCTATCTCTGTGTTTGTGTATTTTAAGTGTATATTCTTCTGTTCAGTCTTTGGAAAAGTTCATTTTTATCGACGGTGTAAATTATATAAAATTATTCAATTTGTGAATATATTCACTGAAAAAATCGTGTAAAATTATTCAATCTTAACGTACTGATATTGCGGGTGCAAGCAAACCCCGGAAGTTTAGGCGAATTTACAATTCGGTGAACCGATTGTTGAGGTCAAGAATATGAAATATTTAAAAAAGTTATTTAACAAGAAGATTTATAAAAACTTTACAGAAACGAAAATTTAAGGGAACTTGTAGTGTACGTTGATTTAATTTGATACTATATTTTGAAATCTAGTATTCTGACACATGATCTTTGATATTCTCACTGTAATTTATTTTACCAGCATTCAACTAATTTCGTAGCTAGACGGTATTTCGCCCACGGGAGGTAGTCATCTTGGATCGCCGACGCTTCGTGTCGGAACCTTAGGCGTTCGAAAATTATTTACAAACAGTAGAGAACGTTGGAGACAGCAAAATGTCAGCGGCGCTTTCGCCGAACTTCGAAAATTGGTGCCTACCCATCCTCCGGACAAGAAGCTGTCTAAAAATGAGATTTTACGATTGGCGATACGGTAACTTGTTTTTTGATACTCTAGAAACTTTCATTCTTAGAAAAATCAAAATCAGATAAATCTATTTTATTTATTCACTTAATGCTTGCCTTTCGGCTTTGGATGACTTCCGATTTGTACAATTTCGTTACATAACTAAAATCTACAGTGGTCCACAAAAGTGTTTGTACACATTTTAAAACACAATAACTTTTTGAAAACTGTACTAAGTGACTGGAATTTTTTTTAGATAATAGAGGGACTAGTATACTAGACGATGACTAAAAAGCTTTTTTTTTAATTTAGCTATTATCTGGAATGAAAAAATTGGAAGTCCCCGTTTTTTTAACTTTTTTATCTGAGCCTATAACGAAAATTTAAAAAATGCCTTTTGTAGTTCGTTTGTAGTTAGTAAAAGTTCAAGTCAATTAGTCCAGTTTTAAAATAGTTATTTGCGTTTTAAAAGCTGTATGAAAACTTTTGTGTGCCACTGTATAATAAATTACCAGTACTCTAAATGTAAGAATAAAAACAAAATATTACTATCAAGGTCTCATTGTATTTAAACTTATTCTTTGGTCGAATATTCTTAAATTAAGTGCATATATATCTATACAGGGTGTCCCATAATTACGTTAACACCTGCAAAGGATTGATTCCTGAAGTCATTTGTGAAGTAACTTTTTCCTTAGCGAAAATGCAGTCCGCGGCTTTGTTTACGAGTTATTAATGAAAAACGGGCGTTAACATAATTATGGGCACCTTGTATGTATAACAATATTCCAATATTCTAATATTTTATTCTAATTAGAAACATGGTTCGTCCTCTTTCTCCTTCCCAGAAAAATCTATCATATAGCTAGCAGTTAAAATCCGATTACTACGCGAATAAAACTCTATTCACTTTGTCATCGATTTTTAGCTAATCAATCCATAATCACTTTTTCACCTAACTGTCACAAACCTCCATTGACATTAGAATTACCAAACCAGTTAAAATGATTCTTTTCTTTTACAATCCCTGATACTGTAAGAAATGTTTTTGGCAGAAATTTTAATACGAACTTCTTCATTCGAGCGCATATTATAATAAAAATCGCAGGAAGTTTAAATTAATCCAATCTTGATATTGCTATAAAATAATATACAGTAGCTCACGAAAGTATTCGGACGCCTTTTAAAACGCAATAACTTTTTTAAAACTGGACTAATTTCGATGAAATTTTCAGCACGCATATAAGTTACCGAGATCTATGAGAGGCATTTTTTATATTTTCGTTATATAGGCTCAGATAAAAAAGTTAAAAAGAACGAGAGTTTTTTTTATTTTTTTTTGTCATTCCAAGTAATAGCAAAATTTAAAAAAAGCATTTTGGTCATCGTCGGATAGACTAGTTCCGCTGTCATCTAAAAAAAATTCAAGTCTCTTAGTCCAGTTTTAAAAAAGTTATTGCGTTTTAAAAGGCGTTCGAATACTTTCGTGAGCTACTGTATGTATCACATTGTTATTATATATATATATACACACACACATTTAGGACTCGGTACTTGTAATATTAACAATTATGGTTTTTCAGGTATATAAGGCTGTTGAGCAATGTCCTTGAATGGCAAAAAGCGCAGGACCGTAACGAGATCACTCAACACGAGGTGCGAATTAAGTGTGAGCCAGCGTTCAATGCCCAAAACTCGACAGCCTACACCAGCAAACCGTCGGTGACTTTCCTGAAGCAAGAGAAGCACGCCGCCGAAAACCACAACACCTACAGAACGAACTTTCCCGTGCAAAAACAAGTACAACACCCGGTGTCACATATTACGTGCGACAAAAACGGCAACAACCTGCTAATGATCGCACCCGGTGGTCACAACATCACCACCACGGTAAATAGAAGGAGCGCGACACCTTCGACCATCGGCCAGAACAATTTCTCACCTGGTCCGCTGACGAATGGAAGCCTGATCCGGCCACCACGACCTACGGCATTCCCGAAGTCGCCTCAAATCGGCGTGCAAGCTATGACCGGCCCTAACATCTTGAACTGCTCCCAGAGCTCGCTCTTGAACAACAACAACAGCAGCAACAGCAGCAGCAGCAACAACAACAATAACAACAACACCAACAACATCAACAACAACAACAACGTCGTGGCCCCGGCGAACGTGTCGAGCTCAGAAGGTCCTCAGAAACTCCGTGGTCAGAAGAGGTTGAAGATAGAGATGGAGGACGATGAACAGCCTGGTCAGGGAAGAGACTGCACTTTGCCTTCGTCTGGCCACAACAGCGCGGTTCGTAAAAGAGTGAAAGTTACCTTCGTCAAGGACTCGAATCCGCCTTACCGTGGTGACTTCCGGAACCCCGACCGGAAGTAGAAGAGCCGGAAACGCGAACGTTGGAACAGCGGTGTCGGTCGTGACTATTTTCTACGAATAGGCGATCGACGTTCTTGAAAGTAGTAATGCTAAGCGCCGATCTTGACTTCGGGGGGATCAAGTTTTCGCGCTGAGAACGTTTGAATGTGTTCGCCCTTTTTTCTTTTAATAAGAAGGATTACAACGTTTGTTTACGGTCAGAATGTGTGTGTGGACAGATAAATTATAATATAAACTATAATTAGTGAGCTTGTGCCATAAATGTGCTGGTCTTGGGAAAGCAACTTTGTTTAATACAATGCCGTAACGAATATGCGAAACGCAATAGGTTTAAGAAGTATTAATATTCAGATATGCAACGTCGCAGTTATAAATCGTCGTAGAGAGTCGACAGTGGTAACAGAGAGCAGAAAGATGCATTATTTATGTAATGTTGTGCTGAAGAAGTAATATTTTGTTTCTTTCGAAGGTGTCCTTGCGGCGTAAAGATTCGTTTCTGACGTACCTAACGAAGCTAATTCATTACACCAAATTAAATTCCGCAAGTATACAGTGATTACAGCTTGAAAACATTTTTGAAAGTTGATAACAAAAGAAGTTTTAAAATAAACGACGGGTCCTTTTTATTTGATCATTAACATACCGCAACAGAATGTTCTTTAATTTTAATTTCTCTGAATTCATGTACAGAATTGACATGAAATCTGCTATTTGAATAGCTAACGTAATATTCTGACACAGAAATGTTCAGGCGAATTTTCTGCATCTGTTTTATTCGATGAAAGTTGATTTATTGTTTAAACTAGAAAGTACAAATGATTCTTACCATTTTTATCGTAAGATATAGTGCAGAATCCGGCACGAATTATCTGCTCTGGAAATATAAAACAGCGTCAGTACACGTAGTGGCAGAACGTTGAAACTGTTTACCAAAATGATTGACTGCTGGTAATTCTGAGGGGTTTCGTAGTCTGGCATCGATGGCGCTATTTGTTCAAGACCTCGGGATTAATTTAATAGATTTAAATTAATGAATTTAAATATATTAAATAAATTAAGATTAAAATTTAATTTTTATGGGTTTATTATCGTTACGTCATCTGCATCAAGCTAGAAAATCGCCAGAATTATCATCGGAGGATGATTTTGATGAACAGCTCGAGTGATTTTCCACGACGTGTCGCAATCGGAACGCAATTTTTTCAAAGATTTGAATTAGCATAGATTTCAACGACCTACTTAAAAATAATGCATCTTGCTCACTGTAATAATTTCATCGAAACACTTTGTTACGTATCACATGCATCCTATACCATCGATCATGCGCATCTTTTTGACTTTTGTATTATCTTTACCATGTACTCCCAAAGAAAAAGAATTACTGTCTTTTTTTTCTCGCGCTATTCGAACCGACTTAAGGGAACATAATCAAGCAATGCGTAGACTGCGGATTTTATGTATTTATGACAAAAATTAATTGATGAAATATGAAATAGTGAGAAGATAGGAAGGAACAAAGAATGTTGACGGACTAATCTCAATTTATAAAGAACAAAAATTCAATTGAGAAAGAACAAAAATTCCACTTGGCTCTCGTGTCTTGCAATCGATGCAGACATTTTTTATTTTGCATAAAGATCCGCAGTCTAGTAACGAACCCTGAAATTCATCGCTGTACCAAAAAAAAAGATCGAAGTATCAATCCTTCATTAAGCGAAGCCCATAATTAACGACGTTGCTCGTCGAGAATCGAACAATAGTCTTTCTCAAAGAATATTTTATTAGTTAAACCGTGTTACATCGTTTGTACAGTGTTAATTGTACAAATTAATATTCGTTTATCGACACGTTTCGAGTACCTTGACCGAAAAAGTACTAAAACATATTTGTTAAATCTCGCAAAATACATCGACACATCCACCATAATTTCGCGACTACATCACATGCAAACAATTCTTGGTCACCGGCGCGTACACATCAATAAAATTCACACATTGATCGTGGAAGAAAGGGGTCGTTTGTGGGGGAGGGGTAGGAGTAGTGACCATTCAACGATTACACGTAACACTTTATATCGATATTTTCTTTCTACGAGCCGAAATAAATTCTGATCGAAATAAACGGATGTTCCATCGAACGTAAAGCATCGTACAGCTTTGATTTCCGTAACCTAGCGTCCTTGTAAAAGTTAAACCGGAAGTCGTGGACGGTGCCTCAGGCGTGGGCAGTGGCAGCTCTTGCTTGCGGAGGTAATTGCATTACCCTTCGGGCCGCAATTTTCGAGTAAAATTTATCAAAGCCAAAGGATCTCAAAAATTTGACGTTGATGCTGATAATAGATTTATGAGCTTCGATATTTTAACATAGATGGCTTATCAGCAAGTGTTTCGAGTTGCTCTTGGAGCCACGATTTTCGATTGGACGACGTCAGAGTCTTACGAGCTTGAACAATTTGTAGTAAATGGTGATGGAAGATTCGTCAATCTTGCTTTCCCAGACAGCTGACTTATATGCGTATCTATCGTTTCGCATAGAACCGTGCTCGCACGTTGGAGATTGCTCCTCGAGCCACCATTTTGGACCCCACCGTACAAAAGCCACCGGATCTCAACGGTTCAACATAAACTAAAACAGAGGACTTTTCGATCTTGATATTTCAGATAGACCGTGATAGAAGACTTGTTAATCTTTTTCTCACTTTGCAGAGTGCGCTCATTTGCCCCTAGGAGTCATCCTTCTGGACCCCGTCACGTCAAAGTCGCAGGATCTCGGAGCTTTGCACAAAAAGCGACAGAAGACGATTATATAGAGACGATATAGAGGCAACAACAGAAGATTGCCTGTTCTGTTCCACACATTCATAAGAGTCCTCCATCAGAAAATTTCCTTTTCTTGCCATTCATCCGTTCCCTGATTATAAGACCGTCTTCGTTGCATGGAGCGGGTTTCGTTGCCATTTAACCGGGCCAGAGCAGTGCCCCACACACATTCGTCAACTCACGCCTGCTTCATCAGCTCTCAACACATTGAAGGGGTTGCGGAGAAACGCTCTGGGAAGATTAGTTTCGTAGAAATTCGTCGGTTTACGTCAGGTACATTTTGTATCTCGTACTGTCCCTCTTCTGGCGTTCCGACAGGACCTTCGATCGAGCGACTACGTAACGATCGTCGTTGAATTCGAGAGGCGGCACAGGCGTCGCCGGCCTCTCCTCGTTCTCGCTGAAAGCTCTTCGGGGCGAAATCTCCATTATCTTTCTCGTGCTCTTGCAGTCGACGCTGGATCGTTTCGCATAAGTTAGAACGCTCGCGTAACTCGCGTCGCTAGTGCGCGAACCCCTTTTCACCGGATTCACCTCCGCGTAGCTTCCCCTCGACTTGCTACTGGCGTCCGAGTTGCGTTTCCGTTCCAGCGGTTGGCGGGCACTTTGCACGCTATCGGAGCGCGTTGATCGGGCCGATCGAGTTCGACGGACTTTCTCTTCGGAGTTCTCCGAGTACGCTCTTCTTTCCTTCAGCTTCGGCTTCGCTATACCCAGGTCCTCGCTGAACCTCAGTCGGTCGTTGAACTTCCTCAGACGATCTTCGTACTCGCTGTTGAAGATCTCCGAGGTCTTCTTCGGGGTTTCATTCTTCGGAGATGGTTCCTTGGCGTCTTGGAACACCGACTTCACCTTCGTGTCCTTCAGCTGAAAGGACGGAGGATCAGTTTCGGAGAAATTGAATAGGGTTTCGTGGACTTCTAGGTTGACATTTATGCAGCGAAGAATTGTAAAGACGAGATAAAAGAGAATTGTAGACTTCCGTTGACTATAACTGGTAAAAGCAAGGGTGAAGATTTAACCCTTAACGGACGAGAGGCGACTCTCGGTCGCCACGGCGTTTCGCGCGGCAGGACGAACGGCGAGTGAAAGGCGACAGTCAGTGTTTATGTTAGATTTCATTATCTCCAACATTGTTCAACGTACTGTTTTATGAGAAAATCCCTGAAGTGGTGGCGCAAATTATTTTTCCGGGGACTGGAAATTTGTTTAATCGATTCGTACATTTTCTATAAACATGTAAAAAGGCAGAGAAACTAACAGCCAGTTACACATTTGAACTTTCGCAAAATTTTGATCAACAGATTCAGAGGAGATTTTCGTCAACCACGAGATAGATCTTCAAGTTCGACGTCCAACTCTGACGAAATTCGTCTAAACGGGAAACTGCATGTAATTGTTACTGGCACAAAGAAATATTGCAAAGTTTGTTCCAGTCGAAACAAACCAGAGGGAAGACATGAGACGACCTATTTCTGTGATACATGTCCAGATAAACCAAGAATACATCTTGGTCAATGTTTTATAAACTATCACATCGAACGAAACTACAAATCATAATTTTTGTAAAATTATGTTCATAAAAGTGTGAATATAGATAAACTAACGAAATATAACGTTTTTGTAAGATAATTTATATGTAAGATCATTTTA